GCTTGAGTGTCAATCCTGTGAAAACGGTTGCACTGTTGCAGCTTGGTGGTGTCCAGCACCGGAAGTGGCAAGCTTTGATCACACAACGTGGGGCCAATGGAGCCTACCTGCTTTTGCCTCGGAAAAATGGCAGCGCGCGGTTGAAGCTTGTTTCCTCCGTTGTTTACCTTGGAGTTCGTGTTTCTTACGCGGCCTTTGAACAGTCTACGCAATCCATGCGCACCAGTGCTGCACATTCCTCGGCAATGTCTCTTAGTCGTTGGCTCTACAGCAAACGCCGTCTGCCTTTTCGAACTAGGCTTGGCTTGGCAAACATGCATCATTCCATGTGCTGAGTATGGTTTGTTGGCGGTTGGCCTCACTACCAAGGTCATTGCACGGCATGTGACTTGTCTCATAAAACAACTTCGCATCATTGCTGGCAATCAATCCTTTCACACACGTGATAGTCACCTTGCTGTTTTGCATGCCTACGGACTTGAGCATCCCATTGAATCTCTGCGCCGTTCTGCCCAGGCACGGCTTCGTCAGCATGACAAAAATCTGGCGGTTTTGGGTGCCAATGATATTGTCGTGAGTCACTCCAGTTCTTCTGTGGCCGCATCCCTCCAAGTGATTGATTGTTTTCGTGAGGCCCTGTACTCGAGTTCTCCTGTGGATCTGCACGCTCCACATCTTCTGATGTGACTGACCTTCATCGACACTTCACACGCACACATGCAATGTTTTGTAGTCCTCAAGCAGTCGACTATGAGAAGCATGCTGTTGAAGGTCTGCTGGAGTGTGCGCATTGTTCGAAGAAGTTTGATTGCTGGAGTTCCTTTCGTAAGCACATCACTCGGAAACGATGTCATGTTAGACCTTTTGCTTTGGACATTGAGTCTTCTGTCACACATGCAATTCATGCCGCCCTGCGGCGAGAACTGACTTCGTTTCGTAAGTATGATGATAATGAAACACTCCCTGATACACAACTTACTTTGGATGACTTCTTTGTTGCAACACCGTGCACTCAGGCTATGAATCTCTCTGCACTCCGGGCACGAGTGGCCCATTTTGTCCGTGGTGAACACTGGCAAGACCTGCAACAGGATCGGGAGGCACAGATTTGCAAGTGCACCTTTTAGCTGACCACCATTGCCAAGAACGTGGTTTGATGATGTTTGTGCATCAGATTATTCGGCTGTTGACCACTCCACCTGCTGAGAATCTGGGATGCATGTTCTGTGGCATGGCTCAAGATGATCTTCAGGCCCATTACCTTGCCTGTCCTACGTTGATTCAGATCTCCTCCTTGCTGTCCCTTCCGCTTCATGAGCGATTTTTTGGCTTGGAGTCCATGGAGGACGCTTTCACGGAGCAATCATTGGCGGCGCTCCAAGGCTGGGGCCAGTCGGAGGCTATGGAAAGAGATCCGGAGCAGCTCAAGAGAGCCAGAACCGGACAAAACAAGCGAGACAGGCAGACAGTGGAACGGGAACCTCCGTTGCGAGATCTCATTCGAGCCATGGGTCATCTAGTGTTGCGCCACGACCAAGACCTTCAGGTGACGACAGCAGGACACATTCATACTCTTCTTGGTTCCAAGCCAAGAGGGCAGCATCCCCGCACCGTCAATGGACGGACCTCCGGGAGAAATCCTCCAACCTCCGCACTCGAGAGAGCTCCAGGGGAGGCTTCTAAAGCTGATGTCTTGCCCAGAACAAAATCCACTTCGGGTCACTCTGGTGAAGAATGCCATCCTTCTCGAGGATCAGACTTGGCCCTACACAAAGTGGGATTCCAACGAGAAGAAGCTAGTCCTGTCCAGAGTCAAGACGCCTTTGTCCATGACTGCGGCCCAGGAATTGCTCGAGGAACTCCTCACCTTGGTCAAGGAAGAGGGAGCGATCCAGAAATTTCATTCGTTGGGGAAGCAGGATGCATCGAAAAGCCAACCATGGAAGCTCCAGGTGGGGATGCGCAACGATCGACTTCACAAGCTGATGACCTCTTGCTGCCACCTGAGTCTGATGCAAATTGCAGGCCTCCATCCAGATGAAGCCTCACAACCTGAAAGCCTCACCGCTTGCCTTGAAGATCAAGGACATGATCACCCGCCTTTGATCACTGCAGAGCGCAGCCAACTGGCTTTGACTGTGGCCTCATGGGCTATGCAGAATCCTGCCAACCACTGCTACGTCAACTCATCTATGATTGCTATGGTTTGGGCCTGTCTTCATCGGCAGCATTTCTCTTTTGATGATTGGGGCGTCCTTCAAGGGGGGTTGAAGGCTATGCTGCAATGTGGACCTGCACCCTTTTTGATCCTCGCTCTGAGGCATTTCCAGGACCACCTTGCCGCTTGGGATGGAAATCGGCAGCACGACGCTGCTGAATTCACCACCTTTCTCATGTCCAAGATGGACCAAGCTGCTGTTTACAGTATGTGGGAGCGGCGCTTTGCTCGTGATACTGGTGTTGTAAAAAGACATGCGCATGCCCTTGGGGCTCTCTTGCTGCACCTCCGAGTGATGCCTGAGCCGATCCATCCATTGAGTCATCTTGTTGAGAATTGGCACACAGAGTCCGGCATGATCACAGCTTTTTCACACCTTCCATCCATGATTTGCCTGCACTTGGACCGACTCCGACCGTTGGCAGGTAACCCACATGGCCAGAAGCTCATGTCTAAAGTGCTGCTTGATGCTGTGTTCAGGATTCCTCAGTTCAAAGGTGATGACATCCAGGTCGAGTACTTTGACTATGTTCCAATAGCTGCAGTGGCGCACCTGGGGCAACCTGGGTCAGGGCACTACCGGGCGGCTTTGAAATCTCTTGACACCTCGACCCCTACTGAGTGGCTTCTGAGCCATGATGATGTGAGTGCTGTTCCGGTCCTAGGATTACCTGGGTGGTTCGAAACTCAGGTCATGATGGTATGGGCACTCCGGAAGAAGGATTTGTGCCAGTTGTCGGTGCTTTTTGAGACCCTGAAAGAGGTGCCAGCCTTCGATAAGATGTTGGCCCTTTTTGCAGATGTGTGAACTGGTCACCCACGCGGTGGCACTTGCTCGTGATCTTGGATCACTAAGACTTCCACCGGAAGCCGTGACGATGTCACAACAGGATCGCGCAAAGAACGCCAGAGAGCTCTTAGCGTCCAAAAGTCCAAAGGCCTCCAACCTAAGAGCGAAGGCCTCCAACCTAAGAGCGAAGGC